TGACCCGCTTCTGACTGGGTCCCCTGGTGCTACAACTGCGTTGTGTATATTGGGTTTCTTTGCTCACGTCCGCAACTCGTACGCGAACAGCTTCTCAGCCCGCACCCTCCCTTGTGTTTTCCTTGGTTTCCCCCTTGATGCCACTCGTCTCACACTTCCACTCTCGTGACGTTATACAGTTGCGCCTTGGTAACTGCCTGCCTGCTATGTTTCCTATATAACTGAATGTATTGCATTGCTCATATTACACAATTCCCAAGCTTGTGTCCGGCCTACCCTCGGCCGCTGCTCTGGCACCAAGTTACAAGCCAGGAGAGCTACCTCTGAGTGACCATTGCCCCGCCGTAGGGACGTCGTTATCTTCCTAGAGCTTCCGCTGCGCTCTAGCGACTTATTGTTTCCAACAGCTATGACAGCTCCTGCTGTAGCGGGCCTCAGGTGTCGGCGGCACAAGAACCTCGTGTGGTGGCAGCCCCAGCACCAGCACCCCTAGAAACATCATGCACCACCGGAAATAGCATTCGAAGAGCCAACACCTCCAGAGACCACGCCAATTGGCTGCGGTGGCGAAGACAGCTGCAGCAATGACGAATGTTGCTACAATGTTTATAAGGACGAGGCTGGTGACGGAAATGACTGCGATCGAGGCTGCAATGGGGCCTGTGAAGGGGCCGGCATAGGAGGTGCACCCCCACGTACCCGGCCTTGAGAGCCAGCAGCCTCCCCCATAAGTCCAACCAAAGAAAGGCGGGTGACGTGCGACACACCAGACGGGGCACGACGTGGCAGTAGGGAAGCATGCAAAGTCGTAGGACCAGAAGGAGGAGTGGGAGTGAGAAGAGAAGAAGCGGGGAAACCAGGGTACCTCGATGAGGGAAGCGAGTGTACAAACAGACAGACTCATCGCTTGGGTTGCTCTGTTACAGGCGTGATGGCGAGATTGTTCAGCTTCGGCAAGGGCGCGGTATCCTGTCGCGCCTCGTAGGGCAGTTTCGCATACTGTTCACGCTGCCTCCTGCAGAATCCGACTTTTCAGCTGCCACGCGGGTCGCAACCTCTGTGCGCGGTTGCGCCCTGCAACTCGATACTTGGGGCAGGAAACACTCGATATGGCAAGCCCCACTAGTACACTTCGAAAAGTGCACTTTACAGTAAACATTGTAAAACATATTCTCAACACTCCCCTCCACTGTTAGAAGTGTAGAAACGAGGAGAGCTGCAATTCTGCCGGGTTGTAGTTGAAAAGTACTTGCCAGGGACTTTGCCGGGATGCCTTGAAATGCGTCTTGCCGAGTCGCCCAAAATGATGCGACGTCGTGTTGAAGATTTCCTCCACGTAGTGCTCCGTGGGAAGTGGCAGGTCGAACCTGCTCCAGGAGATGCTCCTGGTGATGATTCAGGTGGTGGGCCCATTTGTAGAAATTACCACAGGTTCCAAGGATTGGAACTCTTTCTCGTGATACCATGTTGGAAACAAGAAGTCGCTAGAGCGCAGCGGAAGCTCTAGGAAGATAACGACGTCCCTACGGCGGGGCAATGGTCACTCAGAGGTAGCTCTCCTAGCTTGTAACTTGACGCCAGAGCAGCGGCCGAGGGTAGGCCGGACACAAGCTTGGGAATTGTGTAATATGAGCAATGCAATACATTCAGTTATATAGGAAACATAGCAGGCAGGCAGTTACCAAGGCGCAACTGTATAACAGTTGCGCCACGTCGCTTGGGTTGCTCTGTTACAGGCGTGATGGCGAGATTGTTCAGCTTCGGCAAGGGCGCGGTATCCTGTAGCGCCTCGTAGGGCAGTTTCGCATACTGTTCACGCTGCCTCCTGCAGAATTCGACTCTTCAGCTGCCACGCGGGTCGCAACCTCTGTGCGCGGTTGCGCCCTGCAACTCGATACTTGGGGCACGAAACACTCGAAATGGCAAGCCCCAATAGTACACTTCGAACAGTGCACTTTACAGTAAACATTGTAAAACATAGTAAACATTGTAAAACATATTCTCAACACTCCCCTCCACTGTTAGAAGTGTAGAAACGAGGAGAGCTGCAGTTCTGCCGGGTTGTAGTTGAAAAGTACTTGCCAGGGACTTTGTCGGGACGCCTTGAAATGCGTCTTGCCGAGTCGCCCAAAATGATGCGACGTCGTGTTGAAGATTTCCTCCACGTAGTGCTCCGTGGGAAGTGGCAGGTCGAACCTGCTCCAGGAGATGCTCCTGGTGATGATTCAGGCGGGCCCATTTGTAGAAATTACCACAGGTTCCAAGGATTGGAACTCTTGCTCGTGATACCATGTTGGAAACAAGAAGTCGCTAGAGCGCAGCGGAAGCTCTAGGAAGATAACGACGTCCCTACGGCGGGGCAATGGTCACTCAGAGGTAGCTCTCCTAGCTTGTAACTTGGTGCCAGAGCAGCGGCCGAGGGTAGGCCGGACACAAGCTTGGGAATTGTGTAATATGAGCAATGCTATACATTCAGTTATATAGGAAACATAGCAGGCAGGCAGTTACCAAGGCGCAACTGTATAACAGTTGCGCCACGTCGCTTGGGTTGCTCTGTTACAGGCGTGATGGCGAGATTGTTCAGCTTCGGCAAGGGCGCGGTATCCTGTCGCGCCTCGTAGGGCAGTTTCGCATACTGTTCACGCTGCCTCCTGCAGAATCCGACTTTTCAGCTGCCACGCGGGTCGCAACCTCTGTGCGCGGTTGCGCCCTGCAACTCGATACTTGGGGCAGGAAACACTCGATATGGCAAGCCCCACTAGTACACTTCGAACAGTGCACTTTACAGTAAACATTGTAAAACATATTCTCAACAATAGCAGCCGACGTCACCGCCTGTGTCGGTGTCTTACCATTCGACTAACCGACTGCCTACTCCCAGTCTATAGCCCCACGTTTACTACTTCGGCCATGTGTCCGGCTCGTCTTCCTCTTCGTTCACAGTTGTCTCCTCATTTGTCTCCTGACTCGACTCCTCATTCCCACGCATTGGTCCGTTCTCCCTCTCATGCTCTACACGCGTCTCCCCTTCCCGGCATCCACTTTATGCTCCTCCGTTCTCGTCCCCTTTGGGTTCTCCCATCTTCTCTGTCTTCCCTGGCTATCTCCTATCCCTCGGTTCTTTGACTTTCCTCGTGCCGCTTGACCTGCAGTCTCTCGCATCGGCAGTGGCCTCACTGCTCCTCCTCGGTCTTTTGCCCCCACAAACACACAAGTGTACGCATAGATGCACGCATGCAGATACACACATACACACATACATAGACACACATGCACACACACACACGCACACACACACACACACACACACACGCACGCACGCACGCACGCACGCGCGCGCGCGCACGCACGCACACACACTCTCTCTCTCTCTCTCTCTCTCTCTCACACACACACACACAAACACACACACACACACACACACACACACACACACACACACACACACACACACACACACACACACTCACCGCTGTTCTATCCCTCAACGTGAGACGTGCTGCTTTCTTTCCATCCACCATGGCACCTCACCTCAAAGAAGCAGCTGGCGGGGCCTGATATGCGATAAAATGATTCAGTTACAGATCAGTTCAGAATGTCGATGGCACACAAATAGACCTTGTTCCTACAGTTCCAGAGCAAGACCTGTCATTGTATTCGTAAAACCGCGTGATTGCCGTTGAAGCAGCTCCACTGTAGAAGCGGTAAGCACCTGAGCATGGCATTGATGGCTGCACAGGCTTGCTCCTACCCTTCTTGCATAAACCCAACGTGAATGACCAATACTCTGCTGCCATGCAAATCTGGGATCATAAGAATCATGGGAAAGGAGGTTCATAAACGAATAAGGGTGTCGGAGAAACCGAAGTAGACTAACAAGGGATGCACAGTAGAGGCAAGCGCGGCGAGACGAGGCACATACTCTTGCGGAAACCCTGCATAGCGCATCTACCGTACCTTGGCCCACATATTCCTTCCATCCTCCCCTTCCCATCGAAAACGGTTCCTCATCCCTCACAATCCTCACCTGTACACCCATGTTGCTGCCGACAGCAGAGGCAGAGGAGGGGATGGTGGCGGAGCAAGTGAGGCCGGGATTGTTGTGGTACAGCGCAGCCCATTGATTTTCACTGGCGCTTGCTCCCTCTGATGAAGTGCTGGTTCTTTGAAGCAGCCGCTCGCACGTGTCTTGAGGTGTGAGCGTGCTGTATCTCACACATGCGGGGACGGTGAAGGTGAAGGCAGCACTGCGCTCGATGCACACGGAGCGGCCGGCTTTGATGGTCTTGGAGCAGTCAAGGCCGGGGTTGAGTGCGGTGAGATCAGGTTCTGTGAAGTTGAGCTGCCTGCTGATGTACGCACAGGTGTCCCCCTGGAGAGTAGGGCAGAGACAGGGATAGGGATGCTTGGTTCTTGCTCTCTGGTTTCGACAATAATGCGATATATTGGATCGAGAAGGTGAGTTGGTTGGGTGTAAAACGTGGTGTGGGCAAGATAGCGGCAGGTCTTACAGAGAGGGAGTAGAAGAAGGCAGTGCAGGGTGTGGCAGGAGTACCATCCAGCTGAAGGACACTGCCCTTGGGCAATGGCTGGCTGCAGTCGATGCCCTGCATTGGGTGAAACGTGCATGCAATAGAGGGTCGTACGGGCAAGGTCACATGGGAATGGCCTCCACTCCGGTTTTGAGGCGCCTCAAAACTAGAGAGGGTCGTATGGGCAAGGTCACATGGGAATGGCCTCCATTCCTCTCTGGATCCTGATGAGAATAAGTTCGTCAGCCCTTAGTAACCAAGAGGAGTAACCAAGAGAACATTCTACGAGTCTGTCAGTGGAGAGGGTTCTAAGAGATACGATACGCCAGGAGTATCTCTTTCATGTTGGGAGGGAGTAATGATGCGAGCATGAAAGGAGGATATCAAATAGTAGCCATACGATTGGGAACCAAGCTGCATTGAAGTGAGAGCTCACGGGAGCCATGAAGTAAGATTTAACGAGTGAAGTTATTCGAGCAATCCGAATGACAGATGATGGCCCGTAACTCCCACCCCCTCTTCACCCACAATGTTTTGGTCTGTGAAGTCAGTCAGTGAGAGGCCGACGAGGGGATGAACATCGGAGCACCACCAGTTGTCTCCACTGACTGTCATTGTGGTGGCTGTGGTGTTGGCTGCAGGCAAACGGGGAGGGAGAGAGTCACAGCCAATGAAAAAGAGACAAGGAGCCTTCAAAGATCTGAAAAAATAGTAAGGGGAGAAAGGGGAGTTGCCGCCCCCCCCCCAACCAAGAGGTTACCAGGCATATTCACAAGCAAAGGAGAACTACAGATATATTTAAGCGGCCTACTTGGATCGCAGGTGGGGAAGCCGTCAACAGTTGTGCTGGAAACGTGGTTGGGAGGGCAGATGCAGGAGTAGGCGCCCTTGCCATCGTTGATGCATGCTCCCACGTAGCAGGGGTTCTTGAAGTACGACCCACACACGTCCACTGCCACAATTGTAGTGTTTGAAAGGAGAAACAACTTTGAGTCAACTCAAACAACTCGAAGTACGACCCACACACGTCCACTGCCACAATTGTAGTGTTTGAAAGGAGAAACAACTTTGAGTCAACTCAAACAACTCGAAGTACGACCCACACACGTCCACTGCCACAATTGTTGTGTTTGAAAGGAGAAACAACTTTGAGTCAACTCAAACAACTCGAAGTATGACCCACACAAGCCCTCTGCCACAATTGTAGTGTTTGAAAGGAGAAACAACTTTGAGTCAACTCAAACAACTCGAAGTATGACCCACACAAGCCCTCTGCCACTCGTGTTCAGGGGTGGCAGATGATACAGAGAGTTGCGACAGATGTGATATGCAAGACGAAGAGGAGGGGAAAAGTTGGAAAAGAAGAAGGGGCATACAGCTGCGCTGCACACTGCCAGCCAGCCAGATGGCAAACAAACCTTTGACCGCTGCAGCTAGGGGACCTCTAGCACAAGTAAGACACGGGCGGGGGTACGTACTATGTAGAACACAGGATTTTGAGAGGGGTCTTGTTGCTCACCTCGTTGCCTGCCCCCACTCGCTATGCAAGCACTGCATAGGTTTGAGAACTTAAACAACAGCCAGACAAACTTTGTTGCGAGACAAATCTACTTGCCCTTCTACTCACCTGATTAATAGCCACAGAACTCACCATAAGCACACGTATTGGAGCCGTATTTATTCTCAACCTCCACAAAGGGCTGCACAGGAGCAGCAGGAATATTGCAGGTGCAGTTGTTGGTGGTTGCTGCAGTCCCCTGGCACTGGAAGCGACCGCACGGGTTCATGCTGGGCTGCAAATCCCCATCGCCCTTGTAGCTGCTCTGGCCGCAGGGGTCGCCAGGAACTGGGAGGTGTGAAAGGGAACACACTTAAGGAACATGAGAATGGAGGCTGGCGGTCGACAGGTAACGATCTGCTAACAAACAGCTAACAAGTACCACAGTAGCGAAGCGCCATTCAGTGCACATGTAACAGGTATGATGCCATGACCGACCACTAGTGGAAGAAAATTCAGAATTTCAGCTTGCTTGCAGAGTGAAACAGGGCCACTTAAGAACCCCTTGCGTGCTTTGTAATTCGCCACCCTTGCTTTGCGATGAGGTGGATATGGCAGAGTAGATATGACACACTCTTGACGATGGGGTAGATGCCAGGCAGCACGTTGATGCCACACACGCCATCCCCTCCCTGAATGTCCATGCGCATGTGGCCCCTCTTCCCCCACTCTTCTCCCCACGAGTTGCGGATGATCCAAAACGGAGGAGCAATGCGGTTCTGGCTGCCATCGTTTCTTGTGATGAAGTAGCCAATAACGAGTACAACGTGGTTGAGATTGCCCGTGTAGCAACCAGGATCCTGGTACTTGAATGTCTGAAACAAAATGGGGCGACAACAAACATAGATGGGGAGTTCAAGAAGCACAGACATATGGGTATGAAGAAGCCATGGAAGGGGTTACAGGAGGAAGCACTGCAAGTGCTGGTAATTGGTCTATACGATCCAAATTCATAGCAGAATAGCACCAGGAGTATCTGCCATACAGGCGATGACTTTTCAACACAAGGACCGCACATCACAGTGTGCAATGCAAGATACTGAGTGAGAGTTGCAGCGACTCACCCCATCATAGAGCATGAAGGTTGGAGACGCCTCGATGTGAACCACCACTGGCTGCCGCTGCACTGCCAGCATGAGCCCCACATACCCCTTGAACTGCGCTCGCTCAAACGCCTGCACCGGGTACCTTGTTGCCTGGGGCCACGAGAGTGCAGCATTGTTGGATGGGAAAAGATGGGAAGTGAGTTAGTTTGGGGGGGCTTGACAAAGTTGTGAAACTAGAGAGTGGTGCAACCGTGGCTCCCTCCTGATGCAGGGCACACGGAATAATTTCCACCATGGCAGATGGTGGCTCAACAAATCAGCAACCAATCTCTCGGGCAAGCTTAGATACTGTCCTGACTGATTGGATGAGGTGATCTGTCCTCTAGTTTCAAGCCCAAGAGCAGCCAAGCAGGCAAAGTGAATTACCCTCCACAAATCTCACACCCATAAACCTTTCATGTCTGTATCCCACCTCACAGGATACATAGATACCACGTCCTCATTCTGTTTACCCTACCGGGTCACTATCCCCTGTGAGCCCACTGGAGGCATCGAGAGCTGTGAGCGTCTCAAAGGCGAGGGTGGGGGAGCCGCCAGCGGAGCACTTGTCGGAGTCGGAGAGCCCCATGAGGGTGAAGAGCGCCTCCACTGACAGCCGGGGGGCGCTCTGCTGCTTGGCAATGCCGTATGCCGCCTCCACACTCGCCACCACTGCATACGCCCAGCACGCACCTGAGAGGAAGTGGTAGAGCAGGAAAGGTAAAGCATTCAGTCAGGTTGGAGTGACGAAGAAAAGCAAGCTTTGAGTTACAGTATATTAGGTTCCTTGATTTGATTAGGTGTAGACTTCTCATCCCAAACCTCTCTAACCTAATCAAGCCAAAAGCTTGACAATTTGAATGGAATCTCCAGCATTTGTTTTGTTGAATTCTATTAATGTACTGTACTTACTCCAGTGAACACACGGAAGTGAAATATTGTGGTTATCTTTCTTCCACTCACTGCAGTCATTTTGGTTCTTGACAGGCCAGTCGAGGAAGGGCACGGAGTCCCACGTGTGGAAATCACGAATGCTCCACGAGTCCGCTTTGGTGGCCGACAGCTTGAAGTCCGCACTCACATAGCGCGAAAAGGGACTGGCTCGAGTCGGTGCAAATGTGGACTCTGACAGTGAGAGGCCGAGGGCTGTGAGGGGTGGGAAGGAGTGGAGATGAAGGGAGATGTGAATGGGTAGTGGTTGAAAGGCATGGCATGGTCTGGACTTATGATGTCACAATCACTGAACCCAATTCCTTGCAAGCTCCGATTGATTGCAAAGAAGTTTGACATGTGAGAAATTGATTGCTTTTGTGTGTGTGTGTGTGTGTGTGTGTCTGTGTGTGTGTGTGTGCGTGTGTGTGTGTGTGTGTGTGTCTGTGTGTGTGTGTGTGTGTGTGTGTCTGTGTGTGTGTGTGTGTGTGTGTGTGTGTGTGTGTGTGTGACAGGGCTCCTCCTCAAGCAATCAGAATAATTTGAAAAGGATACGACGGGAGTTAGAAGCAATCCCCAATGACCTCGGCTGAAACCGCCAAGTTTTGCTGGTGTTGAGAGTGAAGCGAGCAATACACTTGCTGGTGACCCACTAGGCGGAGTGAAGGCACACAGATTCCAGACACAGTCTCCGATGGGAAGGCAGGACTTGAAACTATGGAGGAGCCATTACGATGCATGGTGAAGTCAGTTTTTGGAAAAGGTATGTGTTGACAGGAGTTGACCCCGCCCTCGCTTGGGCGAAGCCGACTTCACGGTCGGGTGCACGGGACCGCCTGCAGTGTTTTTATCTTATCTGATATAGAATGTTTGTTTAGCAGAAACTGCAAAACGTTTGCATCAAGTATCGAACCCAGCAAATTTGGGTTGGCGAAGGACTTCGAAACGACTGTGCTACGAGGCCTGAGTAAAAGTTTGCGTCGAATAAACAGATAAATTAGTGTTGCACGTGAACTGCCTAAGGGTTTCGTTTTGGTTTCCTGTCTCCCGCTTTCCAATCGTGAGAGATGCCTAGTTATGTTGCCTCCCGCCACTTATGCTCCTCCTACCACTCAACAGGTAAGAAAATCAAGCTGCCACCTAGACCTTACCATGCAGGCTCTTATTCCAGTCATATAGTTTAGCGTATCTTAGAACTTCGTTAGCTGACGGTAAGAAGCAGTATCAATTTTAGTCATTAATTTCAGCGCATCTAATGGTAGTATTTTAGGTCGTTGATAAGCTGCACCTATTCTCATTGATTTATGTCGGTTTCAAGCCCGTTTTGACCTAGTAGTATGTCGTTTTAATTCTCGTGTTGATGTCCGTTTCAAGGGCTGCAACCCATTCTGCTACGTCGTTTTTTGGTTGCAGCCCAATTCGAAGTAAATGCTAGAAAAGTTACATGACCTCATCTACTCTGTAGGTTCATTTTGAGACCGCAGTTGATTGAACTTGATGTGGTCTTTTGTAGGTGTTTGATTTGCTTCTATGTCCCACCATTTGCTTGCAGGAAATGGTCAAACACATCGTTGTCTCACTCCTTTCGCTAACGGTGAGTTTAAGTTTGAACATCATATTGCGAAAGAGAGGGGGAGAGAGAAGAGAGCTGAAGAGTAGTGACACAGAAAATGGCCGAGAAAGCAATAGTGAGCGTGAGAGAAAACGAAAGGAAACCTTCTGGTTGTCGTTAGAGCCTGTTGTTCATTTCGACCATGTATTGTTGGTCCTTTTTATCGTACATTTTTTTAAACTAGGATGGCGCAGAATAGCGAAATTTTCATTCTGGAATCACTTCTCTCGTCTCTTGCTCTAATTCACCATTCCTTCTGTTCGTAAATATTGTTTCTTCTTAATCCATCTCTTTTCGTCTTAGTTTATGCACCACATCGTTAGCAATATGTTTGCCAATTCTGTTTTCATCTAAACGTAGTTAACAAGCCGTCCACTTTCTATGGCCCTTCCTTGTCGTTTCTTAATAAGCACCAGCAGTTTATTATGTGGTTTGTAGGCGTTTGTTCTTTTGGTGCCTTGATTCCAACTTTATTCCGTGATGTTCAAGTGTGTATTTGCTGATTCTTACAAGTCCGTTTTATTTTCCGTTATCTTCAATTCCTGATTGTTTTCATTGGTTTTTTCATTATACATATCTCCCTTTGCCCATTCTATTTCCCATTTCTCTCCTTGTTTTCTCCTCACAGGCTTTGCTGTATCTTTCAAAAAGTCAAGTTTCAGCTGGCATATGAAACAATAACAGTGGTTGATGATCTGTAGGATTATTATATTGTTTTGGTAAATTTCCTTGCATGTTTTTTTGTTTGTTTCCTTATGATGTTTCTGTGCGGACGTGCGTGGTTGTGTTTGCATATTTGTGTGTGTGTGTGCATTCATGTCCATTTACATTTGCATCAACAATGCATGTCTGTGGGTTTTAAAAAGGTGAATCAAGTCTATCATTTCATTAGAAGGTTCATTGGCGCGCCTGTCGGGAGCCCACTTGAACTGGATTTGATAGAGTTGACCATCTTTTTAGAGTTCACAGATTGTGTTGTTTCATGTGAATGCTGATTGTTCAAGGATTATGCTATTAGCTCCCCCCCATGCTAGGCAGGGGATGCGGTAGCATAGTTTTTGGATCGTTAGCTGTCACGCATCTCTATCATATAAAAATATGCATTATGGCTTGTCAGTAACAAGTAAGTAAATATCGTTTATCATATTATATTTCACATAATATATCATATTTTAATATCATTTTATTCATATATAGTCATCAGTCATTATATTCAACTCATCATATTATGTGCATATTACAAGGTAATAAATCACAATATAGAAAATCGCAAAAACAACCTAGCCGTCTAAAAAACCACTACCAATACATTAGTATGATTGAACTAGGCATAACTTCTCATTGGTTACGAATTAAAAAATTAGTGCATCCAGTTTTTTTTATTATTTTTCATGTTTTATTTTAAATAAATAAAATATGAAAATGTGAAAAAAAAACTGGCCAGATCGATCGTAATAGGTTGCTTCGCAACCCAAAAAAAAAAAAAAGGATGGTACCTGGATAGCAATAGGAGGAGGATTATGGAGGGGAGGAAAGCCGTGAAAGGAAGAGCTCCACCATGCAAAGGCGTTGCAAGGGGCTTGCAGTTGCAGGTGGGCATTATCACAGAACCGCACCCCGGGTGTAGCGACTCGATTTTTGAGTCGACTCAAAAATCGACTCACTACTTGCAGGTGGACACTATCACAGAACCGCACCCCGGTATGCTTCAAGGACACTTGGTTTGCCTCATACCGGCCAGGGCCTCTTTATGATGATGGGCCATCCGGGTCCACCTGGATCCACCCACCCCGTTCGTTGTGGCTGGGCCGCATTACCCAGACTCCAAGAGGTGGTGGGCATCCTTATGGATGAAAGGAATATGGAGCTCACTTTCCATATGGATGAAAGGAATATATCAAGCGACTCAAACACCTGAAGGTTCGAACTGGAGATGAGAACTTGGAATATTGAACCATGAGCTGTTCAGGCTGGTTCAACCTGAACCAGAGTGCTTCGGTTCTAGTTCTACTATGCTCGAACCAGGTTCGGCCGGAGTTCGATACTTGTTGACTCGCTCATGCATACTTACAGGTCTTGCAGCCTTGCAAGGTTGCCGATAGCAGTGGGGATTGGGCCTGTGAGCTGTTCATGATGAAGATATCTGCGGCAATGAGCATGAATGAGCATGAATGAGCATGAATGAGCATGAATGAGCATGAATGAGCATGAATGAGCATGAATGAGCATGAATGAGCATGAATGAGCATGAATGAGCATGAATGAGCATGAATGAGCATGAATGAGCATGAATGAGCATGAATGAGCATGAATGAGCATGAATGAGCATGCAGCAGATACAAGTCACCCAAATTTTTCTCCAGAACGAGTGGCGGATAGGAGCAAGGAACGCCATTGGGTGGCAGGAGCACTAAATATAGACGAGTTTTTAGATGTCTCAAAACTCGGCATTGGGTAGCAAAAGCTCTGAATTTACAGCAACGGGATGAAAGGCAGCATGAACAACGTGAACGGCATTATTCGTGAAAGAATGGGTGCGGGGCGGGGACGAGTGCTTGGAGATGTGAGAGGAGGGGCAAAGGCAAAAGTGCACAACAGAGCAATCACGCTTACAAGTGGTTGAGCCTTGCTAAGTAGCCGATTGTGGAAGGAATCGAACCAGTGAACTTATTTTGCTGTAAAGATCTGTGACAATAAACGAAGCAGGCATGGATGGCACAAGCATGGGTGAAGTTCGAACCGTGGAGAGTTGGCCTGGGTTAAACCTGTAGAGAACCAAGCCA